GAGAGCCTGAGGGACCTGCTGTCTCTGTATGTCTCTCAATTGTGCTGCTCCTCTGGTAATTCACATTGGTTGGTATAAAACACAGACGATGTGGGTTTAGTCTCTGTGGTTACTCCCAGAATGGTGGTAGTAGAAGCCCCTATTTAGGTGATGGGGTTTTTCTGGACACATTGAAGATGGCTCTGCGACTTGATAGAACCTCTGATATTGGCCATTCCTGTCATGGTGAGTGGCCTGAAATCGCTGGGGGCTTAGGTGTCCCCTTTCCTTTAGATAGATCTGTCTGCCAGCATTGCAGTGGCCCTGGGTTTTATGGCAAGAGCTGGGTTTAATTCCTCTCAGATGACCTGGGAGTGGAGTGGAGAGGAGAGTACCTGCTCACTGTGCAGGAGGCCCTGGGCTCAATCTCCAGCAGCAAAAGAAAGGGGAGGGGAAAAAAGGAAACAGTGAAAGCAATAGAGAATAAAACTAAGTATTGAAAAGGAGACTGAACAGAAGACATACTAGGAATAGTAACAAAGAACAGGGGAGCTGGGTACTGGTGACTCATGCTCTACATGTGAGCCACTCTACCAACTATTTGCCCAGGGCTGGCTTCCACCTGATCTTCCTGATCTCTGCCTCCTGAGTAGAGTGGATTACACGCAAGAGCCACCAGCACCCAGCTTTTTTTTTCTTTTTTAATTATTGCACAATGTTTTTCCTATTGTTTTTTTGGTCAGTACTCTGACTTGAACTCAGGTCTTTTGCTGCCACTTGAGCCACTCCACCAGCCCCTCAGTCCTTTTTGCTTGAATTGTTTTGGGATGGGATAGGGTCTTGCTTGACCACAAGTCATGTATTTATACTTCCCATGTATATGGGAAGATTGAAATGTGCCAAGACACCAAGCTTCTATTAATTGAGATGAGTCTCAGTAACATTTTACTCGGGGTTGATCTGTAATAACAACTCTCCAGATATCCTTTCCCAAGTAGGGAGGATAACAGGTGTCTGCCTTCATGCCCTTTACTGTTTAAAACATTTACATACTTTTAGTGAAAAAAGTACTAAAAAACACCTCTATAATTTAATCAAGATGTTTTGATTTATATATATTTGTTGAATGGGTAAACTGACATAACTAGCATGTACTTAACCTTTTTTATTGAAACCACATGAATTCCTATCCTAAGGCAATTTTCCAGAACACAAAATTTCCTAAACACCCTTTTGTGTAAAAGGTCTCAGGAACTCATCTCTCCTATACATCTGATATTTTGATCCCTTCCAAGGTTATCTTCCCAAATCCCCACCCTTGTCTAGGGTGTGCGTGTGCGCGTGTGTGTGTGTGTGTGTGTGGTATTAGATTTTGAACTCAAGCTTTCACCTTAGCTAAACAGGTGGTTTGGTGCTTGAGCTACTCCACCAATCCTATGCTGTTTGGTGTTTTCGATTTAGGGTCTGACAACTGATTTGTCCAGAGTTGGCTGCAAACTGATCTCAGCCTCCCGTGTAGCTAGGATTGCAGGTTTGAGGACTTTATATTTTAAACTGTCCTCCTGAGAAATGATGTTTGTTCAAGACGGATTTTTATTATTTTGGTGGCACTGGGGTTTGAAGTGAACGCCTAATGCTTGCTAGGTAGGCTCTATTACTGCTTGACCCACTCTGCCAGCCCATTTTGTGATGAGTTTTTCCAGACAGAGTCTGGAAAACTATTTGCCTGGGCTGCCATCAAAGCACAATTTGCCTGATACCTGCCTCCTGAGTTACAGGACTGAGACATCGGCACCTGGATCACTAAATGGATTTGTGAAGTAAGTTCTCTGAAATAAGTAGATATAAGTTAAGCACTCTGAATAAAGAAAATGGTGGTAGTAAAGTATTAAATGTTGGTACTACAAAAACTTCATTTTCTTTATTGTTTGCAGTTGTAGCAGTCACTACAAGTAGTCCTGCAACTTCCTTATATGAATTAATCAATTTTATCCAAATTAGTGTGATATTGTAATGGAGCAGAGAAAACAGAATTATACAAAAAATGTCAAAAAAAAGGAAAAAGGCTAAATATGCAGAAAAAGAGAGGAAGATGGGTAACTACACAAAAACCCCAGTACAGTGCTGGTGGAGTGGCTCAAGCAGAATGCCCAACCAATATGGGTGAGGCCCTGATCTGAAACCCTGTACTGCCAAAAAACAAAACTGAAATTTAATTAAAAAACCCCAGAACAAACAGAAGCAAGAAACGTGTTCAGAATCTTCAAGAGAATCTGAAGACTGCCTCTGTTTTTGGTCAGCTTCTACCCTATCCATTTGCCTTGATGTTAACCAGTCGGATATGACCGTGTGCACTCTGTGATGAACACAATGCAAACACAAAAGGACTCTATTATCTGATGGAGATATGTTCCAAGACCTCCAGTGGCTGCCTGAAGCAGTGGACAGGAGTTAACCTTATATACACCCTATGGCTTTTTCCCACACATAAGCACTTAATGTTGAGATTTGGGGGTTTTCTTGGGGGGTCTTTTTGGAGGGACTGGAGTTTGAGCTGAGGGGTTTGTGCTTCCAAAGCAGGCACTCTACCACTTGTGCGACACCTGCAGTCCATTTTGCTGTGGTTATTTTGGAGATGGGGTCTCCCAGAGTTTTCCCATGTCATTTGTAGTAGACTACAATGTGAGGATGCTCTAAAGTTACACAAAAGTTCTACTTTCCAAGTGAGCAAGGATTGCATCGACTTGCATCCTGTCTGTGTCCCTTGCTAGGCTTGCACTCTGACAGTTTATCTAAACACACTATTCCTATACTCATAGACTGAAAGAGGCACGATCCATATGCAGCTGTGTGACCAAATGAAGTTAGACATTTTAACTGAGGTAAGTCGATTGTGTCGCACAGGAGTTTTCCCACTTAAGATGACAGAGGCCAGTGCCCACTAGCACACTGTGGGGACCCTTGGTGTGGCCGCCAGTCTCAACATGGCTCAGGTCTGGACTGTGTCCCAGCCTCTTGGGAGATTTTTGTATCTTCTGAGGCTCCTTAGTGCCACAGTTCAGGCCCCAGGCAGCTGGAGGCAGCAGAGAAAAGGACCTCTAGATGGACTCTTCCTGGGAAGCTCTTCTAATGTGCATGGCTAAACAGTGTTCTTCGTTGACATGTCTGTTCACAGTCTTGACATCACCTCACAGGCCAAAACAGGTACAAGCACTGGAGTCAGCCCCACACTCACAGCAAGGCTGTCTTATGAAGAAGCGTGTCTCACTGCTCTGATGGCAGGGAGTGCTCCTTGGTGACAAGGATGGATGAAGACAAAAGCAAAGACTTCCTATTCAGGTGTCTTAACATTGACAAAACACATTCTGATAAAAACAAATGAATAAAGTTCCCCTCATTAATATAACTGCCTCTTCATTATCTCTGTCTTCCATATGAAAACTATTATGATTATCAAACATAGAATTTCATTCCCTCCGTGCATCCAATCTTTAGCAGCAATCAATGTCCCTAAAGCAAACACTCGTCCTGGCCATGAGGCTCAGTGCCTAGCCAATGACTACATTACTCTCGTAGCATGTGCAAGGCTCTGGGTTCAACCTCCACCACAAAGTAAACCAGTAACAACAAACCACTAATCCTATAAGAAAGTCTTCTCAGAATGCGCTGACTGGTAAAGAAGTCATTTATGGTCTGTGGACATATTTTTCTACTACAATTTGTATACTCTCTTTGACAAAATACACAGTAGTGGTTTTAGGGAAGGGGCCCCTCACAATATGATTTTAATTTTTTTTTATACATATATATTTATTTATGTTTTTTTTCATTTTTCTTTTATTATTCATATGTGACATGATTTTAATTTTTGATCTCAGGTATAAAACAGAAATTATGACCTAAATTTAGAAGTTTTAATAATATAAACATGAAGAGCAAAATTTACATGAGGAAGGAAACACCTAAAGCTTTTTTTCATGGCAAATGTGGACCCCAGTTTTAAATGACAAGTTTGGCAAAATTACATATGATCTTATATAGGAACCATAGAATTTTTCACCTATCTTCTCAGTAAATGAAAACACATAGCATTTTTGAGTCTGGGAGTTGTGTCAGTGTCAAACTATATATAAGAAACTGACAAAAATAATGCTTAAAGATAAAATAGATCTAAAGGTCAATTTAAAAAAATACATAAACATAAAAATGTGTAGAATCTACCACCGAAGGCCAGTATCACAAAGAAAATTTAATTACCCAGATTGATTAGAATAGCACCTATAAAACTTATACTCTATTGCCTAAATGGTACTAACAAAACTCTGTTACCATGTTTCATTTCAAGGGTCTGAATGAGATACTCATAACCTAAAGATGTGTACTTTAAAAAGGAGCTGCTGATACTAACAATACATGTATAACTTTTAGAATATTGCCTTCATTAAAAAAAAAAGGAGAAAAAATGTTACCTCAGGTCAGGTATTTTCTGTAGCATTCTGCACAAATGACACAAATACCTTTGTCTCAGTCTCCTCAAATACTTAGGTTCACAGGATTTCACTACTTGTCATGGGACATTCAAATTACTTACAAAAACTGAAAACTTTTTTGTTTCTTGTTGTAATACAGAGCAGGCTGAACTCAAATTTGTGATGTTCCCACTTGAGCTTCCAATGCTAGGAATACAGGCACATACCACCAAGCCTAACAAAACTGACAACCTGGAGTATTTTTCAAATTGTCATTATTTTGATATATTATGTATTCTTCCTCCAGGTGGACCAAGTAAAGACTGACACATCTATTCAAGGGGATTCCATCCTGTGTGCTTTTGTATTTGTGAATTGAACTTTCATGACCAAGGCATTCCAAGGTGCTTTATACTGTGAATATCAGGAATGTCAGATGATATTGAAGCCTTTTAAAATCCTAAACACAGGGTTTCTCTGCAGTAAGTCATTCCATGTGTGTGAAAGGAACCAGAATGATTGAAGATGTTCCCAAATTACATTCATAGCATTTCTTTCCACTGTCAATCCCTCATGCTATGAAATGGAACTGGGGCTGACAAAGCCTACTACATTTCGTACACAGGGTTTTTCTCAACTGTGAGTTCTCTCATGAACTCGAAAGTAATTGGAACACCTGACAGTTTCTTCACATTTATCACATTAACAGGGTTTCTTTTCAGTGAGTCTTTTCATATTTGTGAATGCTGCTGTAATTACTGAAGGTTTTCTACATTGTTAACACATAGGGTTTCTCTTATGTGTGAACTACTTCATGTTTTTGAAGGGAGGGGGAAAACTGAAAGCTTTCCCACATTGTTGATACACATAAGGTTTCTTTTATGTTTCTGAAGGGAACTGGATTGGGTGAAGGAATTGCCACATTCCTTACATAAGTAGGGTTTCTCCCCTGTGTGAATTCTTACATGTATTTTAATGTAACTGGATGAAGTGAAGGCTTTCCCACATTGTCGACACACATAAGGTTTCTCTCCAGTGTGAATTCTTTTATGTTTCTGAAGGGAACTGCATTGGGTGAAGGCTTTGCCACACTCCTTACATAAGTAGGGTTTTTCTCCTGTGTGAATTCTTACATGTATTTTAAGGTAACTGGACAAAGTGAAGGCTTTCCCACACTGCTGACACACATAAGGTTTCTCTCCAGTGTGACATCTTATATGTCCTTGAAGGTGCCTGGATTGTTTGAAGGTTTTGCCACACAGCTTACATACAAAGGGTTTATCTCCAGTGTGGCTTCTTGTATGTGTTTTAAGGTACCTAGATCGAGTGAAGGCTTTACCACACTGCTTACATAAATACGGTTTCTCTCCAGTGTGAATTCTTTCATGGTCTTGAAGGTCACCAGGTCTCCTGAAGGTTTTCCTACATTGCTTACATTCATTGTGTTTGTCTCTAGTGTGAATACTTTCATGATTTTGAAGACAAGAGAGATACTTGAAGGCTTTATCACATTGCGTACATTCATAGGGTTTCCCTACAGTACAAGTCCTTTTATTTTTATCAAGGCACTGGGGAGAATGGAAAGCTTCCCCATATTCCCTACATTTATGTGGCTTCTCTTCATATTCTAGGTACTGGAATGGTTTGTGTCCATTGTGATCCCTGAGGGGCACATTTACAGATAAGTGACCATCGAGGACTTCTCCACACATGTGGCTTTCACATAGCATTACTCCAGGAGTTTCCTTGTTCACAATCTCAGGAGTCTGGCTGAAGGCTTCTCCCCATTGACAGCCTGCTTCACGTTCACAGAGTCTCTCTACCATTTGACTTCTGTAACAAAAGTGCGGTATGTTAAAAAGAGTTTCTTTCTCCATGATTTCACATTTAGTCATTTGTAACACACTTACATTTTTCAGTTGTCAGGGAAACCATATGCTTTATATCCTTTAGAGACTCCCCGAATGTGAATGGACTGAATACTCACCAGGAGGGTTCAACCACTAATGTTTTCAAAGGAGTGATATGTACATGGGTTTTTGGGTTTCTTTTGGCTTTATTTTTCTTTTTGCAGCACTGGGGTTTGAACTCAGGGCCTTACACTTGCTAGGCAGGTGTTCTTAACACCCAAGTCACTCCAGGAGCCCTTTTTTTTTTATGGTTTTCTTGAAATAGGGTCTCATGATCTATTTGCCGGGGCCAGCTTCAAATCAGGATCCGCCTGATCTCTGCCTCCTGATTAGCTAGGATTACACTGAGGAGACACTGGCACCCAGACTCACATGGGACTTCTTAATACAATCACCACGTTCACTATTTTGCAGACACTGAGCCATCTGTGTTACACTGAAGTATAGCTCTAGGGTCCATCATCCAAAATGCATGACATCAAAACTGTTTTGGATTCCAGATTTTAAAATATTAGCAGATACAGAATGATACCTCAGGGATGAGACCCAGGTGTAAACATAAAAATATTTATTTATTCATTTATTTATGTATGGATGTATTTTTTTTGCAGCCTTGGGGTTTGAACTCTGGGCCTACACCTTGAGCCATTCCATCAGCCCTTTCTGTGAAGGGTTTTTTCGAGACAGGGTCTTGCAGAAGTATTTGCCCGGCCTGGCCTTGAACCACAATCATCCTGATCTCTGCTTCCTGAGTAGCCTGGATTACCAATGTGAGTCACCAGTGCCTGGCTAAAATTTACTTATTTTCTATGCACCTTATACCAAACCCTGATGGTAATCTCATATAACATATTTAATAACTTTATGCATGCAACAAAGTTCGTGTGCAACAAATCATCATAAAGTGTTATTTGTGGCATCATTTTTGGTGTTCAACAAGTTTGGATTATTTCATTTTAGAGTATGAACGTTCAAGCTGTGCTGAGATTTAGAAATACTTTTCCAAGAGGCAATGCATTTGGAGCTTGACGTATACTTCTTTCCACCTACCTATTATCTATCTACCTACCTGTCTATAGAATATTCATATACAGAATATGGGAGGAAGCAAGAGAGAGACAGACAGACAGAGAGAATACATACATTTGAGACAGGGTCCTTTATAGAGCCAGGCCTACAACTCACTACATAGCCAGGCTAGACTTGACCTAATGATGCTCCAGTCTCAGTTTCCCAAATGGTGAGATTACAGATGAGTACCACCACATATTTCATGAGAAATTCCTTTCTCTTGTGAGAACAAATTACCTTAGATATTTTCCAAGATTTTTGTAATCCTCTTCAAAGTTCTGGTCTCCCCATTTTTGTCCTAAAAGGTAGACCCAGAAAAACCAATACGGATTATTACAAACTTATACAAAAACTGGGTTCAGGTTCAAGTTTCCTTGAAATCCTGCCAATATTTTTCACAAAAGCATATTTTCATATTCCAATCTCTGAATGTCATGGGTGAGCACAGAACACCTTGTCCCTGACTCAGTGAAGGCATGATATCACCCTTACCTACAGCATGCAGGTTCCTGATGGTTTCCCACATCACAGATCTGTAGAGATTCTTCTGGAAAGGACTCAGCAAACTCCACTCCTCCAGGGTGAAGTTCACAGCCACGTCCTCAAAGGTCACCGACTCCTACAAGATCCATTCATGTTTTCAGGAGGAAGGATGAGACGGAAAACACCTGGGGTCTAGACTCAATTCACAAGTTCACATGGTGTTGAGAGCTCCAAGCATGTCCTGCGTGACTTGGAGGTTCTATCCTTTCTGTCCACACTCACATATCTCAGTTTTTCTGATACTAGATTTGAATACTTCCCTAAAGAAACACAGAAGAGTCTCACTGTACAGTGGCTCTGAAGCATGCGCCAAAGCCCGACTACCTACTACTCAGTGTACTGAACAGAGTTAAAACTGGCAGCCCTGAGACTATGTTTTCATAGATGTATTTGTTCCTTGCCCCTGGGAACTGGTGTTGGGATAGACCTCAGACATCTAGCTGAGGAGAGGAGCTTAGTCTGCCTACACAATACATAGTGAAACAGTATGCTATCTGCTTCACTTGCTTCCCTTTGAAAATTTGCACATTTCTGACATGATTAACAGAGGAAGCCTCAGTGACCAGTGTCCAATGGCTCCCTGGACACTGACTCTCTACAGGCTTCCATGACACAGTATTTGAAGCCCATTGTCACAACTGTTTGCTCAAGGCATGCAGCACATCCTCTGCAATTACATCGAGAGCCAACATTTGAAAGCTTGAGCCTAGTATTCCACAGACCAAATTTAATCGTCATGTAAGACCAATGAAGGAGAAACTATCTAAAGCACACAATAACGCAACCATCACTGACAAAAATGTAGTGTACATTTCAAAATGTATGAGAGGATTTTGAATGTTTCAACATAGAGAAAGGAAACTATGTTAAGACATGGGGAAGTAGCCTGAGCTACTCAGTGTACAATGTGTACAAGTACTGAAATATCACATGACAGACCATAAATATATGCACTTATGTAGGCATTGAAAATGAAGAGAGTCAGGTGCCAGTATTAGGAGGACTGTGGTTCAAAGCCACACCAGGAAAATACTGCATGAGAGATATCTCCAAAATAGGAACAGTGAAATGGAGTGGAGGTGTGGCTGAAGTAGTAGCACTTTTGCAAGTATGAAGCCTTCAATTCAAACCCCAGTTCCAGCAAAAAAAGAAAACTGAAAGAGGAAGTCCAGGGGTGGCGTCACATTCCTGTAATCCCAGCTATAGGGGAGGCAGAGAAGCCAAGATGGCAGTTTGAGAGCAGCCTGGGCAAAGGGGGAGACACTATCTGAAAAATGATAAATAGGGCCAGTGGCGTGGTCAAAGTGGTAGAGCAGGGCCTAGTAAATGTGAGTCCTGAGTTTGAATTCCAGGAATGTCAAAGCAAACAAACAAAAAGTTTAAGTAGAGAATTTTATAATAATAAAAACAGTCAAAAGAAACAGACTGACAAATGTAAAGATATTAAAATTGAGGTGGTAAATACAACAGTGCAGAACAGAAATATCTACAATGCATGCAATTATAAAAGGATTACTGCACAGAGTAAAAATTTTAAAAATTATAAATGACCAAAATGTATTACCAGAAGGTAAAACACCCTATGCAAAGGAAGATCCAGGTACTAGGTAATGAAGAGACAAATAATGTATGTACGAAAAGGACAAAATTCAGTCCATTAGATAATTCCAAGGGTTGATGCTCACGGAAGACCACAAGTTATGAGGAACGGGATCAACAGCTGGCTTACTGTTTACTGTAATTTGAACTGGACCACAACCTTGAGCCCAGTCACTTTCCTCAAGAATGTATTGTGTAGCCGGGCGCCAATGGTTCATGCCTGTAATCCTAGCTACTCAAGAGATCATGGTTCGAGGCCAGTCCAGGAAAATAGTTAACAAGACCCTATCCCACAAAAACCCATCACAAAAAAGACCCTGACTTGAAGCCCCAGTATGGCCAAAAAAAAAAAAAAAAGAAGAAGAAGAATGTATTGTGCTGTAGCACTTGGAGAAAGACAAGAGACATGGCACGAGCACTAAAAAAAAAAAGTCAACCCCCCCCAAAGAAAAGTACAAAACCTCAGGGATGAGAAACTGGTCCTGCCTCAGACCCTGGCACTTCTGAAACATAACTTGGCAAAGAAAACACCCGTCAGCCTTTGCAATTCCATTAAGACTCACTTGCTCAAAGTTCAAAGGAGGCAAAATAAAAAGAGCACTGCTTAGTAAAAAGTAACAGATTGTAAAGATAGGAAAGTTCACCAAAGAATCAGGGAACTGTGGTAAGACTGGCATGAAACAGGCAGGAGACCGCCTGGGGACACTACTGACTGCAAGGCCAGTTATGAATCTTGATGAGGACTCCAAGGGACTTTACATTGTTACTAATACTAAACCTTACCAGAAATGTTTTTTTCATATTTCTTCAAATATATTTCATCATAAAAATGCAAAGACTTAAGACTGAAAAGCACATCCCAATGTGTGTGGTCACCTGTCTGTAATGTGACAATCTAAGTTGGAATCCACAGATCTGGCAGCAAGAAGCAGAGCAGCACAGGTCACAGCAGGGGCTCCCCAGCAAGCAGCATTTGAGATGCTTGTGACAGCCATCAGAGAGCCAGGCAGGTGACCTGGTCACAGCAGAGGAGACAGACTCAAGGGAAGGTGTTAAAACACAAGTCGTCCTGCTTAAGGTGCTGTCCTGATGTCCACTTTGAAGACAATGTGGCACACAGGGGACATGTGATGCTTACCACTCACAGAAAAATGACCCCTGTGAAAACACTGACTGAACATAAGCGAAAAGAATGGAGACTTCAGTAACTTCACACCTGAGGAACACACCTCCTGCAAACATTATTTGGAAAATTCAAAAAGAAATAGACACTACTACCATTCAGAGGACCAGCAGGACAGGGGTGCAACTGGTGCAAGGCTTGCCTTACAAGCATGAGGCCCTGAGTTCAAACCCTGACACTGCAAGAAAAAAAAAAACCTAAAGAAGAACCTAAAAAAAAGAGAAGAATCTCATTTCCACAGCAATGTCATTTCAGTATTCAAATGCCCATTTTTTCTTTTTTGGCGAGGGTGGTACTGGGGTTTGAACTCAGCGTCCCACACTTGCTAGTCCAGTGCTCTCTCACTTGGGCCATGGCAACATTCATTTTTACTTTAGCTTCTTTCCCAATAGGGTCTTCTCATTTTGCCCTGGTAGGCCTGGACCACAACCATCCTATTTGTACCACCCTTGGAGCAGGGGTCACAGATGTGTGCCACCACACTCAGCATAATGGTTGAGACAGGGTTTGAACTGTGCTGGCCTCGGACCTACATCTTCCTGATGTCTTCCTCCTGAGGACCTGGGATTACAGATATCAACCACAGTGCTTGCCTTTGAATGCCCACATTTCAATAATGAGAAGAAGAAGGGGGGGAGAGGAGGGAGGACGGAGGAGGGAGGAGGGAGGACCTGAGCTGCCTTGTCCTTGCCCTGTCCTCACTAATGACACCACATGTCTGGTGTTTTCTAAACACCAACCAATTCTCCAGCACCCATGTGGTGTCCCACAATGCAATTCTGACAGCAGAGAGACTTGGAACAGTCTCTACAACTTCTAGGACCAGACCTGCCACTCTGTCCATAGTGCAGATGCTAGGCCATAGCCTGTGCTTGCTCTATCTGGTCACCTGTCACCTCCCTCAAGTGATGGAGAGGTGGCACTCGGAGTCACCTCATTAGCACAAATTCAGAAAAAGGCCTAAAAGGGGCGATTGATAAACAGCCAAAGACACTCCTGTACCTCAGGGAATGCCAAGGGCTTAAGGTTGGTTGTGCCAGAAGACCTAAGATACAGACCAGTTTCCAAAATTATGCTACATTCCCAAATATATAATCAAAACCACAAATCTTTACTCTGTATGACAGAATGCAGGTGCCTTTCTCTCAGACACCCCTCTTATACGTTCCTATTGACAAAATTATACCCCAAATACACCAACTGCCTGAAAGGAAAAGAAAAACAGTCAAACACCAGAGCACTAGAATCCTGGCAAATAGCAGTGATCACGCAACTCCCACCTCAGAAAGTTGGAGGGTGCCATCGTCCCCTCCGCCTCCTTCTTACACCTATGCACCAGCCAGAAACAAAACTTCCAAATGCACACTTTTTATCTCAGAAATGATTCAACTAGGTGATCAGCAAAAACAAAACACCCTAAGGACAGGTGACCTCAGGGACATGTCCACTGCCCCAGGAGCTGATGCTGCCCCCTCCATGGCCCTCCTCTCTCCCTTCTTTCTCCTCCTGTTGGCTCCTCCCTAGAAAGCACAGCCTTGCTCGCCTGGCCCTTGAGACCGTGCAGACCTTGCACTTGGGGCACATGGCCCTCAGTTCAAATCCCACTACACAAAGAGAGAGAGAGAGGGAGAGAGAGAGAGAGAGAGAGAGAGAGAGAGAGAGAGAGAGAGATCCTCCAAAGGAAATAAGGGAGAAGGTCAGGGAAGCACCTGCTTCACCCCCAGTTCATAAGGGACCAGGTTCGCAAGGTGAACACAAGTCTGACCCTAGACACCACTGTCACTGTGCAGAGACAGCCCAGGGCTTCACTCCCAGGGAGGGACGGAGGAAGCCTGAGCAGCCAGGAAACTTCATTCTGGGGCCTCCCCACACCAAGGGCTCCCCCATCCATGTTCCCTCCTCCCAGCAGCAGCAGGCTTTGTCCTACAGGCTGGGTTCTGACCTGAGCTGCCCTGTCCTTGTCCTGCCCTCACTAATGACGCCACATGTGTGCTGTTTACTGAACACCAACCAATTCTCCAGCACCCACCTGGTGTCCCACAATGCAATTCTGACACAAGAGAGATTACATAGAACAGTCCCTACAACTTCTGGGCTCAGTGCCACCACACTGTCCCCAATGCAGATGCCAGGCCATAACCTATGTTTCTTGTGTCTGCTCATCAGTCACCTTCCTCAAGTGATGGAGAGGTGGCACTCAGAGTCACCTCATTAGCACAAATTCAGAAAAATGCCTAAAAGTGGCAATTGATAAACAGCCAAAGACACTCCTGTACCTCAGGGAATGCCAGGGCTTAAGGATGGCTGTGCCAGAAGATCTGAGACCAGACCAGTTTTTAAAATTACACCACCTTCCATATATACCGTCAAAATCACAAATCTTTTCTCCATACGACACAATGCAGTGTTCTTTCTCTCAGACTTCCCTAATTCACACAAATTACACCCCAGCACATGACCCCACTTTTATTGTCACTCTAATGACCGGTGGCCTCAGGGACATGATCCCTGTCCCTGGAGCTGATGCCCCTCCATCGCCCTCCTCTCCCCTTCTTTCTCCTCCTGTTTGCTCCTCCCTAGAAAGCACAGCCTGCTTGCCTGACCCTGGAGACCACCCAGACCTTGCACTTGGGACTGTCCTGCCTCTGCAATAAGCTCAGGTCCCGCCGCCATCCGCGTTTCGTTTTTTTTTTCTCCACAGGTCAGAATTTATTTCATACCATTACACTTATAGCATTTTCAAGTACAAGATTTTGCCCAATGTCATTGACACATGATAACAGAAAAGCACAACTTGGTAAGGCACCAGATTACGACAAGTCTGCAGAGGAGGCCTGGCTCCCCTTTTTGCTTGTTTGACTCCTGGGTAGCTGCTTGCCACTTTGTCAAACAGACAATGAGGTTATAAAAGGTTCGTTTGTGTACGTGTGGTGAAAAGAGATGATAGTTTTGGAGCCCAATACAGTGTGTTGTTCATTTATGGTGTCAGCCTAGACTATGGAAGTTAAGCTAACCAGGCATTCTCTGCACCTAAGTCTCATTGAATCCTCTCTGAGACACCAAGCTTCATGTTTAGCCATTTTTTCTGCTTTGAAGTGAACAATCTTTACATTTAACTCAAACATATACTTTAAAATTTTCTCAGTTCAAATCCCTATTTTCAGAAATAAATAAAAACGGTGGAAAATCTCAAGTACAAACACACCATGTAAAATGCAGCAACATATTACAAACTATTGCAGGTGTCAACCCACTAGATTTGTGGCACAAATAGTCCAGGTGTATTGAGCCATGGAATGAAGCTTCCAGAACTGGCCACACAGCATCCTTCTTACCACTTACCCAATGGACCAGAGGCAGTAAGTGTAGCCTGACAGTCCTGCCATAAAATTTTTTTTTAAGTCTTTGTTCTGTCTTAAAAACTAATATGCATGTACTCCATTGTATTTGTTTTAATATAACATTTAAAATTGCTTGCCAGTGAAATAACTCGCCCCTCTAAATGCCTGTGCACACAGGGCACACAGAATCCTCCTGGGAGCCTGGCCCCTATGGATGCGAAAGCCAGACATGGAAGGATGACTGTAACAGTTACATCTGATAAAATCATTTCCACAAATAAGTAATGTCCTTCACTCAGGTTATAACTAAACACTTCAGGAGACTATGATATCAAGTTCAATGGCTAAGAAATCAATACCAAACAGTCTATGGATTTTAGTGGCTTGATGATTAATCTTTTTTCAAGAAAGAAATTCTCTAGTCCTACTTACTAACAGGAATAAATGAAGCCCCTAAACTGAAAAAACCCAACTAGATTTTTTTCAATATATAAAAAAGATAACACAAAATCCACAGAGACAAGACTCTGCTACCTGCCAGCTTCACAGGTAGTGAACAGCTATCTCTAGCTGGTCACTTATCCTGGTGACTGCCTCACCATGGCAAGCTGGACACTGTGATTCAGTGGCTGGCCACTTCCGGCATTTTGGAAATGTCACTGAAGTATGAATGTGCTCCCCTGACATGGGGCTGTCCTCAGAACAGCCAGCTTTAAGACTCCTACCTTGAAGGACATGTGCCATGAGTGTTGCCTTTTGACTGTCTCACAGCAAGGAAAACACTGAGTGGGCCATGGCCCTGCAAACAACTGGCCTGCAGTACTATTTCTGCTGCAGGGCCCTAAAAGCACCACAAGCTCAACTGGTTGCTTTGACAGTCTCAAGAGATGTTCGTGTCACTTTTTTAAGATGGTCTCAAAAATGTGCAAATGAAGATATGTTAATATTGTACCTCAAGTATCAAAAAGATGTCTGTTCAAAGCAGTGGTGACAAGAGGAAACCACATTGCTCTGATCTATGGCCATGCTTTCCCCACTAATGGTCTAAAAGTCTGATCAACAGTAAACCAGACAGCTACACAATCGTGTGTGTGTGTGTGTGTGTGTGTGTGTGTGTGTGTGTGTGCCTGTGTGTTTACAAACAAGGACATTTTGGCTGACTTAAGAAGAAATGGTATGTGTGTGTCTCACAAGCCATCTGCTGTGGGCTCTCAAGGTGTCCACTGCCCTGCAGATGACCAATGTGAGTGAGGAAGCTTACAATACCCAGACAGGAACTCCCTCTGCTCCACTTGACAGGACACAGGTGGCTTGACGTACCAGCCAGAGTCTGAGAGCAAACACCACACTCTCATCTCTGAGTTGCCTGAGCTCCCTACAACACCATGTGTGATCTAGACTGGCACTTCCCTCCTGCAGGGCATTTCCACTAATTTACTGTAGTGTCAACACAACTGTTCCAAGAATGAAAAACCCCTATGAACAAGTTTGCTTTTTTGGTCTACAAAGCATCAGTAGTTAGTGGGATGTTTTTTGGTTGTTTTAAAATCTTAAGCAACTGAGTATCAGAAAATGACAAAAGGGGTAGTGTGAGGTTTTGTAGGTACAGGTCTCTCATTTTCTCAGATTTTTGCTCTTAGAAAAACGGGTATGGTTTGTGTGGTTTCAAAGCTGGGAGCTGTTCTCACCATGGCTGGTTCTGAATGGAATGCACTGAGCGCTCGCTCAATAGCCCTTAACCAAGAGAGGTTATTAGTCACAACATTCCCTCTTGGTCTGTACATCAAAATGCAGCAAAATTTCATCCTTGACATCAGCCTTGAGAAGCCCTTTTCACATCAGATATAAATTAATCCAGAAGTCTAAAACTCTACATTTCCAGAGCTTATGAACAACTTTTAACTTAAAACCTATCTTGCTTAAAAAAAGTCTCATCCTAAACTCATACCGAGAAGGAAATTAAAAGTAGAACGAATACGTGTGTTGAGGGCTCTCCTATGACCACACACATATGTTCTACACGAGTCAGTGCAGCTAACACAGCTTCTGACAGCAGCATCTGGGAGCATCATGCCAGGCAGTACTTCCTCCACCAAGACGTGGACAGATCCCACACTTTGTCCGGGGTCCTGCTCTTACACTTCTTTGGCTGCTGCAGGGAGTCCGAATGCTGGATGCCAGCGACAACAGTGGCGTCAAAGACTTCTTTGAGATTTTTCTGAGTCAAGGCTGAGCACTCAATATAGGAGGTGGCTTTGATTTCCTCAGCACACAGCTTCGCCACCTCCTCAGGCACTGGCTTCTCTTTGCATTTGTCCAGTTCAACGAGCACTTTGACATCTTCTCTGAGATCTGACTGTGTCCCAACCAGGATGATGGGGGCCTTGGGGCAGTGGCACCGAATCTCGGGCACCCACTTCTCACTGACATTCTGGAAAGATGTGGGACTCACCACACTGAAGCAAAGAGGGAAGATGTCTGTGCTGGTGTAGCACAGGGGCCTTAGCTTGTCAAACTCATCCTGTCCCGCAGTGTCACAGAGCTGGAGTCTCACAGGCCGCCCATCTACTGACACCACAGCCGAGAAGTTATCGAAGGCGGTGGGGATGTATTCGGTGCGGTAGCCATTGGTGGTGTAGCTCACCACCAGGCTGGTCTTACCCACCGCGCCGTCGCCGACCAGCACGCACTTCACGCCGCGCCCCTCAGCCCCGCCCGCGCGCCCCCGGACCCCCGGCGCCCCGCGCCCTCCGCGCTCCCGGCGAGGCAGCACGGGCAGCACGGGCGGTGCGGGCACTGGCTCGCAGCGGGTAAGCAGCACAGGTAGCCCTTGCTGCGGGGCCATCGCCGGCGGCGACCGCGCTGCCGCGGGACCAGCTGCCACCAGCGGACCAAGGCAACGATAGGTCTCCGCTGCGCGGGGCGGCTCTGCCCGCGCGGCCGCCTGCGTTTCAATTGTAAACACAGTGTGCACCAAGGGACACCAACCACGTCAGAGGGACCCCTTCCGCTCCACCCTACTGGTGCCCCCGAGGACCCCTTTCCCATGCGGGGAGCCCACAAAGCTAGGGATTCCCCGCCTCAGGACCAGGTGGCGGTGGAGACGCCGCTTCCACCATCAGGAAACTCGGGGCGCTCAGGTCTGCGCCGGGATGGGGACGGGGACCCCGCGGCCACTCGGGAGCCTCCCGCCACCTCTGCCGGCACCGCGCTGTGGGGAGACGCGGGGCTGCGGGCGCGGAGGGACAGGGGGCTCCGGCGGGGACAAGGGACAGGAACTTGGGGTCCCGGCTGCGGCCCCGCCCCGCCCGGGGACCGAGGGGACGAGCGGAGCGGCGCCGGCGGCGACTCTGCCGCAGACTCCGGGACTCACGCGGGGCCCAGTCGCTCTCAACCCCTCCTCGCCCGTGTCACAAATCCGCCCCACGCTCACCATTCCTGACTGCCGGGTGTCCTGCTGTCCACTCCTGCTCCTGGGGTCAGCGTCACAAAACGACGGGAACTGAGTCACCTCATAATTTTCACGTGAACAACGGAAAACTGGAGGCGTCATAAAGGAATCTCCTGCAATGTGGGCGGGCCCTTCTCCGCCAGCGCTCCTGATTGGGCCGCTCCTGTGGCCCTGATTGGCTAGTGGTCTTCTCTTAGCCGTGAGTGACAGGAGGAGCGAGCCTCACCTGGTGGAGATGCAAAGTGCCACATTGCAGCCCTTGGGTTTCCATTCCTTACAACAGCTTTGATCTCGCTGATCGCCTCCCAGCATGCACCATGAGAAGGTCAGGACAGAGGACACCTTTGTTCAGAGTCACTGTTCATTCCCAGCACCTACAATATCTCTATATCAAATGACCGTGTATCTCACATTTGTTGAGTCTACTGAAAATAAGAGATCAAGACGGTCTGACAAATTAGAAGAGAACCAATCAACTCATAGAAGTGGCATTGAACTTGTGGGTTTGGAGTTGTGTGGAGCATGGAGAGAGGGAAATCCTGAAATACAGCCGGAAGTAGAAGGTGATGGAGCTTAAATGCCGCAGGAAACGATCACTGTGGGGCCAGAAGGATCCCAGGAAAATGTCAGGGGCATCTCGCAGGTTGAGGCCAGATTCCAGTGAAATGAGGAAGCCATGACATTTATGCCCTCTCTGTCCTCTATGCCTGAGATCTGCATTTATAGGGAAACGGAATTTGCCTCATGTGTGTTCACTAACTGTGTGTTTGCTCATGTCAGCAGGAACCTGGAGAGGACTGAGAGAGGAACAGACCACTGGTCATCATGAGAATGCTGCACTCCAGGATCTTACACCATATTTATTATTTTTTTTGGTGGTATTGTTAGAAATAAGACCCCCAAAGACCAATGGAGTCACAATTCAAAACACAGAAAAGTAGAACTGCCTTGGCAAGGCAAAATTTACTTCTGCAGAAGGGTGCATGGGCACACACACAGGCACAGCACACACAAAGGAGCAGGGCAGCCTGCCCTCCTTATAGTCCTGATAGGAATGAACCTGCCTCTCGACCTGGATTGGGCCAGATCAAACGTTCATATTCTTTTCGATTGGATGAAATGCTATCCTAACTTGGGAGAGGTTAGGATATGCAGCATAGTGCGCAGTTTTCAAGGGCAAAGGGGCTTAGCAAGAACGCAGATGAAGAACACAGAACTACAGACAATGCAGTATGTTTATGGCGACATAAACTTTGATACAAAAGACTGTTTTCCCACAATTCCCCCCTTTTTAATTTATATTCTTTTCTTCAAACTCATTTACCATTAATTGACTTTCTGTTTCAGCTGTCCTTAACAACAGCTGGTGTGACGCAGGAGTTTGTTCAGTTAGAGTAGTTTCTATGAGTCAGTCAATCCTCATACACAGGGAATAATTCAGCACCAATTAAGGTCATAATCCCAAATGCATCAATGAGGGATGTTAAAATTGAGGCTATTCCTTCTTTCCATTTTCCAAACCATTCTTCTAGCCAGTTACTAAAGGGTCACTTGTCCCTGAGTTCTTAGCCAATTGTTTGACAGGGCTTGTCAGGCTGTGGAGTGTCTTGGTTGTGGTTCCATCCAGAGCTGTGTTACTGGGGATGAATGTGCAACTTTCACCTCCACCAAGGACCCATAACACACAACACACACACCACACCCAACACACACACCACACACACACACACACACACACACACACACACACACACCCCTTTCTGCCAGAATCATCTCTAGAGCCATCTGGTTTCTCATGCCATCTTACCGCGGGTGACTAGTTGTTCTGTATTTTCTTCATTTTATCCCTATTATAATTGATAAGGCTCTGTTGGTTATAATAGATATAGTTAATCTAATCTACATTCTTATTAAAAGTGAACAATCAGAATAGTGCTGATTTAAATCCTGCTATTTTTTTTTGCTTGAATTTATCAGGGGCTCTCCTTGGGACCCCATGGCGTCTATGTAGACATGGTTAAGGATGATTTGGGTTATCAGAATGCCCAGGTGAAAGGCATAGCCAATAGGACTAAAGTGCAAGTCCCACTCCATTTGATAGAAGAGTGTCGAGTAAAGGTCCACTGCAATACCACCAGCTGTTTGCTTGGGCAACACTCAGAGCAGACTGACTGCTTAACTCTGCAAAGGTCTGGCCTTCACTGTACCCGGATGAATTTCCCAAGAACTCTAATTCCTCCCTCCACCCTGAGAGGCATGAGGTGTAGTTACAATTTTAGGATGGGAGTGTAATAGACCAGGGTGGCTTTTGCCCCCCAGAATCTTTGACCACGGAAAACAGTAGTGACATGATCATAGAGACTCGTTGCCCCAGGCTGTCCTTTTTTGGAAGAGTGTTATATATTTCATTTTAGCAGAGTCTGAGGTCTACCCTAAATGGAAAGGGGCAACTTGAGGCTCTGGCCTTCCTGTCACACATGTGTAACTTTGCTTTTGTTTAAGGTCCGGACAGAATATTTAATCCATTTCAACCAGGCATTACTTTCCCCATCACCAGTTTTAATACACAGGGCTGGCTTTTAAATCCTTAACCTCCCCTACAGTTACCTTGACTTGGTCACTCTCAGGTTTGAGGGATGGGATCAGAAATAGCGGCCTATCCTCAGAAGATGATGTAATTATGTGGTCTATTCTGGACACATCAGCTCCCAATCCATACTGCCTCAAGATGGGAGGCTCTATGGTCATGGTATGAGTTCGTCTATGACCAACAAAAGGCAGTTGCATCTATGATGAACAAAAGTACAGTTGGCAACTGGGGAGAAAGTGCTCTGCTAATTTGGCTCTTTCTTTGTTATTCTTTCCCTCTTCCCTTCCCTTAGGCTGCTGAGGTCCAATCCTTACACAGTACTACTGCAGCCCTCATCTGAACAACCCCAAACAGCCCATCTAAGTTTGTCTCAAACTCATCATGATAGTCCTCTCCTGGGCCAGGGTATGAACACCTGAAGCATGTCAACAGTCCGATGCAGGCTTCAGGGTGTTGCTCAGTGGCAAAACATTGTTTCAGCATGCAGAACATTCTGGCTTCTACCCCCAGCAACACAAAAAGGGTCCAGTTCTGATTGGACTCAGCACCAAAGTCACCAACAGCCGCTCTGACGACAGAATTTTCTGCAGAAGCTTTTATTTAGGGCACACTTCACTTCCTGTTCCTCAGGTTGAACTGATGATTCCTGACTATCTATTAGAGTATGACCAGGTCAATGGCATAATGACACAAAGCCTGACATATTCAAATTTTCTTTCCTCTTCCAGGGTTGAACTCAGGGCCGTGGGCTTGCTTGGTAAGCATCCTAACACAAGCACCACTCTGCCAGCCTTTTGTTTTAGGGTTAATTTTGGGTCCAGCTTACATTGGGCCTCAATGCTCCTCAATTTGTCCTTGCCCGCATAGCTGGGGTGACAGGTGCACACCACCAAGGATCGAGAAGCCAGCAAGGCAAAAAGTTCAAGAGAACATATCTTGAAAAAACACTTCACAAAACATGGCAAAATGGCTCACGGTGTGCACCCTGAGTTCAAACCCCGGTACTGCAAAAAAAAAAAAAAAAAAAAAAGTCTTGCCATGCTTTTTGGTTTTCTCCTCTTTTTCTTTACACTTGTAATTTTTATGTTGTTCGCTTTTTTTGGCAGTACTGGGGTTTAAACTAGGCTGGCATTCTTATTGCTTGAGCCACTCTACCAGCCCTGTTTTGTGCTGGGTATTCTGCAGATAGTGTGTCCCAAACCATTTGTCCAGGCCTGGCTTCGAACCACAATCCTCCTGATCTCTGTCTCCTAAGCTAGGATTACAAGCATGAACCACTGGAGCCTGACACTGGGTTTCTCATAAACAAACTTTATTACTTAGAAAGATTCATGAATGATAATTCATCATGCCAATGAAAACACACTACAGTTCTCACTGGATAATGTCCAAAGACAATGACACAATAGAAAGGATGGGACAAGTTCTATCAGGAGCTCCATGTCGCCATCATGGCACCTTTCACACACATTTATAAAATGCTAATTGCAAAATACAACTTTCATTAGTCCAGAAAAACTAGTTCACCAAATCTAGGCTATATAGTGAGTGTCTAAAATGTAAGGTTTTGGAGCACCAGGCACTTTGTCACACAGTGCAATCCTCACACTTGGTAGGACGGCACAGGAGGATCTAGAGTTTGATACCTGCCTGGACTACACAGGAAGTCTCTGTCTCCAAACAAAACAAACAAACAATGAAAACCACAAAAAACCTATTTTTTAACAAAGAATGTGACAGGTGCCTAATAGGCACCCAAAAATTGGAAGCTCCCTATTATAGTTTGTATCTGGAACATCCTCCAAAGACACATGACTGAAGGCTTGGCCTCCAAGGCAGCAATGTCAGAGGTGCAGCTTTAGGCTTAGCTTTCAGAGAGGTGCTACAAACCACAGGAGCTGGGGACGAGCTGGAGGATATAGATCACAGACATGTGTCCTCCAAAGGTATCTTGTCCCCTTCTCCTTAACCTCACTCAGCATCCTGGCTGCCATGAGGTGACCTCCACCACACAGCCACTGCCATGACGTACTGACTCACCTTAAGCCAAAGCAATGGGACCAGCAGACAAAACCTCTGAAACCAGGAGCAAAATAATCTTTTCATCTTTCAGTTGTTTCTCTCAGGTATCTCATTGCAGTGAAAGAAAGCTGACTGACATAATCCACTACTGAAGACACTCTGAAGACGGAGATGAACACAGACCACAGGAAAGGAAAGCAGTCTTCAGTGAGCCCACATGGAAACAGAAAGCTGATCCACAATACAGCAGACACTGCACAGTACTAGAAGAAATAACCATCTCTTTTATACATGGGACAAGGACAAACTGGTATTTACTTTTTGGGAAAATGCAGATTCTCCTTCACAACACACACAAACTAAATTATGCATTTGAACATGAAATACAAATTGAATTCTTCAGCAAGCAGTAATAAAATATCTTTGGGATGAAAGAATATAAAAGAAAAAGTCCATTACAAAGGGACAGTGACATAACAGAGAGGCT